CCAGGGTGGATAAAAGTGTGTCTGTTCAGATACCGCCGGATATCGGGTCTCGGTGGACATAGCCAGCATAGCCCCTGGTGAGGAGTTTTGTGGAAGAACAAAATCTGGAGAACTGCACCCTGGTTATAATTGTTTGATGTGCAGAAGGCATAAAAGCTAGACAGAAATCTTCTCCACCTCGTATTACTATGCATTTCCTTGGGTAGGGATAGGACTGCAGGGATGGGGCAGGACTGCAGCTCTCAACACTGCTCATCCTGGGAGTCAATGGGAGATACTGTTGAATGACATCTGGAGGATTTTCCGCTGTGCTTACAACCTGGGCTGCTAGTTACTGTGTGTGGCTAAAACATTGGGAGACCTGGGTTCAAATCCATGAGACGTTAAGCTCACTGCGCGGTTCGGGGCCATTCACAACTTCTAGGACTAACCTACCTTACAGAATTATTTTGAGGATACAGGGGAGAGAATAACATTGGTTCCCCAGTGTGTCTCAGGGAAACGAACGGGGAACCAGGGTAAGGGGTTATGAACCTCAAATATGCCAGCCCAGTCCACTGAAACCTTTTTGGGCTATTCTCTTCTAAGTACCAGGTAAAATCCTTTGTTCCAAAGGGTATCTTTATAATCCCGTTGTTCTTGTGTTTCATGTTACCTGCTAGTCCAATATCTGTATTACTGCTTTTAAGCATCTCTTCTTTTATTCACCGATTCAGGGTTTGGCATTTGTGTTTTATATTAGATTGTATCTCTTTTATTCACTGATTCAGGGTTTGGCTGCCGTCACGTCTTGGCATTTGTGTTTTATATTAGATTGTATTTTTACAGTGCTTTGCTCTTTGTTAAGCCACCTTGAGTGCAATTTGTAGGAAGGCAGCAGAAAATAAATACGTTTTAAAAGAATACATCACCAGTAGTGTGGTTTTGAGCTGCAGACATATTGGTTTAACATTTCAATTCAGGATCTCTCAAAGGACGTAAATACTACGTGGGGGACTGACTTGTTTCATAGCTGGTCTCTTGCGAAATTTACTGTGTATGTACACGGAGAGAGGGAGAGACTGTTGGAAGCAAGAATGGTAACAGGTTTAGAATGCAGAGCATGCCCCCAAGTGAGGGAAGGAAGAGGGATATTTACCCTAGGAAAAAAGATTAAGGCAGTAGGTGATAAGCATTTCATATATTTGAGTCTGTGCCATTTACAAAAACATTTTCTTGCTGCTACTGTTGCAGTTTTTACTTTGGATCCATTACCCCACCATTCATATATATTCTACTAGGTCCATTTGCTGGTTTCCAAGAAAAATGGAGTGATCCATCCAAGAATACATCAGGTACAACATCCACAACCACAGAATGTAGTGAGGACTACTGTTTTAGTTACCATATATTCCAATTGGACACTAGCCTCAGGTCATTTTTTTGCATGTATCAGCTGGGTAAATCATGAGCTCTACACATACAAAAATGATTTTAATTGAAGACAATTACTGTTGATCTCAAAGGGAACAATTTTCCAATCCCAGAGATATATGTGGGTACTCCCAAACATAGACTAGGATGCAATGGTAACATGTACTTTAGTTCCTTATTCTATTAACTGATGGAGCTCTAATCTGAAATATTGCTAGCTAGAGTGTCACTTAGGTGTCTGCAATTAGGCTGATCTATACAGGGTAGTTTGCCTAAAGTAAAGCCCACTTCAGAAGCTGAATGAGCAGAGATTTAGGAAGCACTAGAGTTTCAGTCTTTCTTCAATCCATTCATATGATTGCCTGGGCTTAAAAAAAGAGAATAAAATAAATACAGGCTTACTCTCATATATTTCTTTCAGATTTTCTTTCGTGTCCGCTTGTTTTGTTCTTTTATTGCCACCCAGATGCTTATTGTGTCACTTAATTATCCTCTCACTTGATTTTATATGTGCTAATCTATCATAATCCTTTTTAAAGTGAAGCTCTCCATTGTAATGCTGTTTGATATGGTTTCTAGCGTTTGCCAGCAATTCTGAAATACTGCAGGAACTCAGAAGAAAGAGTTCATTCACATAGATACCAAATCACAGAAGATGTCTGCCAGGAAGCTCAGGATTTCACTTTCTTCTGAACCACCCTTTTCACTTGCTACCCTTAATGAGCCACGTTTAAAGAAAAACACAGAGAAATAAAATCATTTTACAAATCAGTGGAAAAATATACTCATTGCTCAAGGTTCCTTAAGGGTACAAGAGTATTCTCAGCAGGTATGCATGGACATACAAAGGTAACACAATCAATCAATCAATCTTGGGAGCTCCCCACAAGCAACAGGTTTCCTGTCTAACCCCTCCTCTGAAGCAAATGGAGAAGTTATCCTCACAACCACGGACCTTGAGCTCAGTAACAAATTCTAAATCAAGCCCATCTAACCTTTTTATAAAAACCACTTCCAAATGCTGAACCGTGTTAAGAGAGATGTCTCCTCGCCTTGTGCTTAATATCACATTAGTGCATCTTTAATGTGTGTGTCACTGAACTAGAAGGTGCATTAGCATGCCAGAGGTGGAAATTTAGAGGCATTAAGGACACAGCTAAGCTTATGGAGTAGCAGCAACAACAACGCTGCAGCCAGCCAGAAAGAGAAAAATGACTGGAACAAGATCCTTCCCCAAACTGTTGTGACAACACTAAAAGTGTCTCGTCAAGAAGCATTAGAGGAAAAGCTCTCCAGCCTTGGGAGAATGGGATGCCTATACACGGGAGCGCAGAGGCAAATACGTCTTGGATCTGATGGGCATTTAAGGGAATGGACCCTTGCAGCTGGTGTCCTCAGCACCACGGCCAGCTCCTTGGCAAGGGAGGTAAAGGGAGGGGTGAGAAGCTGAAGGACAGACACCTTCTCCTACTATGTTGGCCTGCCGAGACGCTACCCTTCCTGGATACCCTCCACCACATGCAGTGAATGTGTGGAGATGGTGTGGAGTGTGTGTGCGTGTGTGTAGGAACAGGGAGAGGAAAAAGACAAGACACCTGCTCAGTGGGCTGCAGGCAGCCTGTGAAAAGTGCAGCAGCTGCGGCTCCTTTGCTTCAGTGGTCAAGTATAAGGGAGAAGACAGTATGTGTGAAGACAGGCAAGAGAAGGGGTAGAGGCGGCCAACTTCAGTGAAGTTCAGCCAAGGCGGAGGAAAAAACTCACACGGTACCGTGCAGCCCCAAAATAAATGTTCTCATTAACCCTGCAGGGGGAAAAAAACGCCCAAGGTTACTATTTTAAGGAAGATGATGTTTCTGATCCTGCTGGCCTGGGAAGGTTTCTACTCAGTCCTTCTTCCCAAAAAGCTTTCCTTTAGACTTCCCATTCTGGATTTGCGTGTGGCTTATCAAAATCAGATTCGTACTCTGACACCCTCCCACCATGACACGGTGACTCAAAGAGCTATTATTTCCCCTTCCAATGGTTTCCTTTGCAAATAATCAGCCCCTGAAAGCATCAATACGATGGCTAAAATGAGGACTCTGCTTTCAAAGATAGCAGAAGATCCTGATTACCAAAAGCGCGGGAGGGGGGGAGCAGACATCAGGAGATTGCTACCGTCGTCCTGTTTGTGACATTTCCTTGGGCATCTGGCTGGCTGCTGCCAAAGACCAGGCTGCTAGGCTCAGCACTCTCTGGTCAAATTCAGGAAGGCAATTTTAATGAAAGGCTCCATCTAGTGGCCAGGATGCGACCAAAACTAAAGGAGACCCAAGACTATTCATGCATAGACATGTATCTACACGCAGAGCGAAGTCTCAGCAAGCTAAAAACTACAGTATTCTCAATAGTCACGTTCCCGTTTTGGAAAGCAAAACACCTGGAAATATCCAGAGAAATACTAATTGTTATACTTCACATAGATTTGTTTCATTTTTTCCCCACTAGGGCTGTAAAATTTAACCAAAAGACTAATCAGATAATGCTTCAGTTGATTTGTCAGTGAGGCATTTCTGTTTAGTCCAGCTTTAATGGCACATTATATTTATTTAAAGATTAATGGTCTCGTTTTATTACAACAGGGAATGACAATGAAATATTAAAGCTATTTTTCCCCTCCAAGGAGTGGTTGCTTTTGCTCATTAAATTTTAAGCTGTCTTCAAAAGTACACCTTGTAACAAGGATCCCATGAAAATGTTTGGCCTTATCAGCTAATGAAAGACATCTCGGTGGATTGTGTATGGTTCAGCCTATCAATTGTAACAACACAGATCCCCCCAAAAAATAAATAGAGAAAGATTATTTGTCCCCTTTTAGGTAAATGCCATAATACGTCATCAATGGGCAAATTCTTAGGGGTGGCGCTCCCTTATGTGCAAAAAATGGGAGATATGCCTCTTAGAAGATGGTAAGTACTTGTATTACAAATAACTAACAATGCTTTAAACAGCTTCCTAAATTAGGGACCCCTTTCTAATCAGAAAAGGGACGTGGTGGCGCTGCGGGCTAAACCGCAGAAGCCTGTGCTGCAGGGTCAGAAAACCAAGCAGTCGTAAGATCGAATCCACGCGACGGAGTGAGCTCTCGTCGCTTTGTCCCAGCTCCCGCCAACCTAGCGGTTCGAAAGCAGGCAAATGCGAGTAGATAAATAGGGACCACCTCGGTGGGAAGGTAACAGCGTTCTGTGTCTAAGTCGCACTGGCCATGTGACCACGGAAAGATTGTCTTCGGACAAAACGCTGGCTCTACGGCTTGGAAACGGGGATGTGCACCGCCCCCTAGAGTCGAACACGACTGGACAAAAATTGTCAAGGGGAACCTTTACCTTTACCTTACCTTCTAATCAGAAGCCATTAGTTAACCACCTATCAACGACCTGAAGAATATCTAACCGAGCAAACAAAATATTTGCTAATTGGTTGACAACCCTTACTTGGGACCAAGTTTTACTGAAAAGCCATCACCTTACCCTGCCCACGCTGAAATGTTTCCCTTCCAGATACAAAAACAAGAAAGCAAAAACAAAACACACTTCAAAAAGCACAAATGCTTTGATTTCTGTTTTAATTTTAATACGAAAAAACAAAATGCTCCCGTAGCAGTGGGGATGAATCCAGTTAGCGAGAAACCAAACAGAAAAAGCTATGATGGATCACAGGGAAATATGTGGATGATGGGGACCAACAGGAAATGAGGAATGAATCCCACAGTGAAGAGAGGAGAGTCAATAGGTATTTACAGTCCAGACTGAATCCCCCTCCCCGCAACAGGGAGAGGAAGCAATAAAATGTTTAGAATTAGAAGGGCTCAGCTATGGAGAAAACTGCTATTGGGTATTCCTGGGATTGGGTTTGGGGGGGGGGAAGCCATATTCCATACAACCGAATGGGGGGAAATGGCTAAGACTGGGGGGGGGGGCGATGGAAAATGGGAGCCCATCATGGTTGTAGAGTGACCAAGCCAACGGCACTGCTGCTCTGGTGAGTTTCACGTATGTAGGAGGCAGGGGAAATGGGCACCCAGCTCATCTGCAGAACTGGGGAAGAAAACAAGATAAAACCACGTTCCTGGTATGCAAACAGCCAGGAAGAGCCAAGATGCAGGCAGAGGAGACAACAGGAGTAAATGTAGGGGAGAGGAGTTGTTGCAGCTACGCTAAAGCCCCTTAAGGGGGAGCCAGAGAGCAGCAGCTCTCAGTCCACGTAGTGTGGCCAGCTGCCCCTCCTTACTCCCCCCAGCAACACTCAAACTCCCCCAATCTGGACGTTCCCTACTTGGATGTTCTCAAAGTGAACCCCCGCATCGGTTGGATAGATTTCTATGGTCTCCACCACTGGGATGGTCTCCATGATGGTCACGGTGTTACCGTAGACCTGCTCGCTAGATGTCGGTGTAGCTGCTGCCGCCACTGTAGTCGTCCCTGCCGCGGCGGCGGCAGCAGCAGCGGCTGCTGCAACGGCCTCAGCCATGACCTCTTGCTCGTGCTGCAGGCGCTGCTGCTGATGCATCTTGCGGTGCTTCCAGAGGTTGGAGAAGGAGCGGTACGCCTTGCCGCAGGCATCGCAATGGTACGGGCGCTCCCCTGTGTGGATCCGCTTGTGCTCAGCCAGCCGCACGGCGATGGTAAACGCCTTCCCACACTCATCGCATTTGAAGGGTTTCTCCCCGGTGTGCAGGCGCCGGTGGTCTTTGAGATGCGTGGACTGCCGGAAGGCCTTGCCACAATCGGGGCAGGGGTAAGGGCGTTCCCCCGTGTGGATCCGGCGATGGACTTGCAGCGACGTCTCGGTGCTGAAGAGTTTCTTGCAGTCGCCGCATTCGAAGGCCTTCGGGCAGGCAGGGCGGCGGGGCCGAGGCGGGGGCGGCTCGTGCACAGGGGGCTCTTCTTCCGCTCCTTCAGGAATCTGGATGTCCCCATGCAGCCGCTCGTGGGCTCTGAGCTGCACGGTGGAGCCGACTTTCTTGCCACAGACCGAACACTCGAAATGGCGGCTCATCTTCCCACACTTGTGCTCCTTCAGCTGCTCGGCAGAGACGAAGGCAGCCCCGCAGCCGGAGGTGCAGCGGTGCGGCTGCTGCCCAGTGTGGCTTAACTGGTGAACCTCCAACAGGCGGCGGAGCAGGAAGGAGCGGCCACATGTCTGGCACTTGTAAGGATACTCCCCTGTGTGGTGGTAGCGGTGCATGAGCAGGCGGTAGGGGCGGTGGAAGACGCTGCCGCACTCCTGGCATTTGTAAGGGTAGTGGCGGCTGTGCACCAGGAGGTGCTGCTGCAGGGTGGACGACTGCGTGAAACACTTCTGGCAGATGTCGCAACGGTAAGGACGCTCGCCCGTGTGCGTCAAGCGGTGGCGCTGCAGGTTTGCAGGCGAGTTGAAGCTCTTGCCGCACTCCTTGCAGTGGTAAGGCCTTTCTCCGGTGTGGGTCAGGAGGTGGTTGCGCATGTGGGACTTCTTCTTGAACATCTTGCCGCAAGTTAGGCATTTATGGCGGCGTTCCATCTTGTGGGCAAAGCGCTGGTGGCGCGACAGCTGGGTCTGCTTGGGAAAAGTCTTGCTACACATCTGACACTGGAATTCCAACTGTTTTTGTTCCTGGACGTTGCTGTCAACAGAGACGGCTACGTTGTCCACAGAGCAGATGATGGCCACCGGAACCACCTCCTCCTCCTGCTGCTGCTGCTGCTGTTGCTGCTCCGGTTGTTCTGGGGCTTCAGGCAGAGACTCCTCTTCAAGAGGCTGGTCCTCGGGAGGAGATGCAGGCATTTCCTGGCTCTGGGTTGAGTTAGCACTGTGGGAGCGCCGATGGTAGAGGAACTTGGTCATGTTGATGAAGGTCTTCCCGCACGTGCAGCGGTAGAGAGGGTTGGAGGAGTGAGTGCGGCGGTGGGACAGGAGCACTGCCTCTGTGCCAAAACCCAGGCCGCAGTCCACGCAGAGGAAGCGTGACTCCCCGCTGTGCTCCTCCCTGTGCTTCTCGAGCGCGGCTGGAGAAGGCAGCACTTTGCTGCAAAGCGGGCACTTGAAGGCACCCTGCCGATGGCTCCTCATGTGTAGCTGGAGCTTGTGGGCTGAAGGAAACACTTGGTCGCATTCCACACACAAGTGCTCCTTGGCAGCTGGTTTGGCCTTGCGGGGTGGCTGCTCTGCAGGGTTGTTCTTGAGCTCATAGCTATGATCCGTGGCCGTGACACTAGTTGGGGCTGGTGAAGGTACAATCCCATTGTGCACAGTCACTAAGCTTACAGGCGGCGGCGGCAGCGGTGGTGGCAGCAGTGATGGTGGCGGTGGCGGCATTTCCTTTGGCTCTGCAAGGCTGGGTGCAGGTGGCTCCCTGACCCGTGTCCCTGGGGATGGTGGGATCACCTGATGCGTTGCCTGGTGCTCCAAGAAATCTGTGGTCGATTGAAACAGCTGCAAACATTCACCACATTCATATAGCAGCAGTTGCACAGTTCCAGCAGGGACTCCCCCGTCCTCCGGCTTACGATATGAATGTTCCAGGTTCACTCGGGCCTGACTCTGAGGGGGAGGAGCTGGAGGCTCTGGGGGCTTGCGGTGGGTTTGACGGTGGGCTAGCCACACATCCTGGCTGGTGAAAAGGGCCTTGCACTCTGTGCACTCATAATGGATCTGACTGGAGCTCAGAGGCTTCACTAAGGGCTCTGGGTCCTGGGTCATCATCTTAAGGTGCATCTCTTGATGTTCCAGCAACTGACTTGGAGACAATAGAATCTGTCCACACTCCAAACACTGGTACTGGCTTTCTTGTACAGTCACAGTTTGGTAGAGACCAGCCTCACCACCCGCCACTAGCCCAGCTTCTGCCAAGTTGACTACTTCATACTGTTGCTCTTGAGTGCAGAGGTGAGTCTGCTGGTGCACCAGGGCTTCTTCCAAGGTGCTGAACTGCTGGCTGCACTCTGAGCAAACATAGCGGTGCTCTATATATAAGAGCGTTTCTTCACCCGACTCCGCCATGATGCAAGGCAGCTTCTAATCTACTGAGAAGAACAAGAGACAAAAGGAAAATGCTTCTGAAGTGGGCTGGTCTACGTGAGGAGTGCAACGTCTGTTGATTAATCAAAGAAACTAGTTGAAGCATTTTGTTTAAACTGGCCCTAATTCATAAGGCAGCAAATGATTATTTTTAAATAAACATTTCCAAGCCTCTTTTGCTCACACATGAAGAGAAAGGAATGCACCTTCTAAGATGGTGCATTGCGTGCAGATAACATCTTAGAACAAAGAAAAATTCTTCTACTCAGTTTGTGTATACCAAAACTATATTGATTCACTATATAGATTCACTCAATTAATCAAGTAAGATTTATTTGGTTTAGTTGAAGATTTAGTTGCAGAATTCTATTCTGAAGTACAGCTTCTGATAAAACTAATAGTGTAATCCTTTTTCAAAGATGGCAAAGAAAAGAAGTGGTGACATGAAAATGTGGTCACACAGGCCAGTGCAAGATTATATACACATAATTGCCATCAAACTCTATGGTGTAAAACCATAGAATTTGGATTTAGTGCTAGTGTTAGATTTTTTTTTCTTTGCCCCTCCTGTTCCTGTGCTTATAGTGGCATGGAAACCAAAACCAGTTCCAAATTGTTTTTACAATCTTCCAAAGCACACTTTAAAGTGCCTTGGGATCTGCAACAGGAAAGGAGAACTGCACCCATCCCACTTATGCTGCATTCAAATGAAGAGAAGCCTACTGTCAGAAGTACAGCAGACCAGGTGGGCGGGATATAAATCAAATAAAAAAATAAATAAGTAACCAGCAGACATGATTCCTAGGAGTGTATGGGATGGCAGTCTTCCCCAGCTTTACTTGGGGACAACATTTTAACTGTTAGGGCTGAGTGTCAAGAGCAGTTGGTCTGGAAAGCTACCTGAATTTAAAAACTCTGTTGCAACATTGAATGGGTGGTGGGGGGGAAGAGAGATATTAAGATAAAGAATATGCTAAGTTCCTGAGTTCCGTGCTGAAGCTTTTGGAATGCAACAGGTGAACATGAGGAAAAGAGGAAGTTGCCTTATCCCAACTGATCCAATACTGTCAGCTTTCCAGGGCATCTGAGTCTTTCCCATCATCTATTACTGAGTCTTTCTGCATGCAAGCATGAGGCCTAACACTGAACTATAACCCTCCCTGGCTGTAATATAGTTAGAGCTATATTTTTATATATAAAATATAAATAAAACTTAGGTTTGCGCCATGGAAATGTGTGACTGCATACAATGTGTGATGGCATACAACACTAAATTATCCCTATAGGTAAACAGGGTTAAAGATCAGTGCAGTTTTGTAAGAAATATCTTTTTCTTTCTGTAAAAATAGTGCATTACTCACTGTTTCAAAGCTAACTTCTAGACACATAGCGTACTCACCTCCAGCAGCTTTTTATAAAAGAAAGCATGTTTGCCTAAGAATCTCTGACTCAGTTTTAAAGGATTATCAACAGAGGCTTGCTTCACATTAAATCCAAATTTCATTCCAAATTACAATCAAAGGAAAAAAAACACAAACTGCTGATTTATGGAAAGAGTATAAAAACTAATCTTTAAATACACAACATCTTTCCCCATTCTTTATCGAACACTTTAGCCATATTTCCTCTGGCTTCAGGGTGAATTTGGTTATCTTACATACCTTTTGGGCCTAAGGAGAGCACTCAGCCCCTGAAAGGCTTGTGGCCTTAGAAACACATCCTATGAGAACTGGCTCAGCGTGCATCAAGTCCTGTAGAAGAGGATCCTTTTAGAACTCTGAAACCTTGAGTTAAAAAAAAAAACATAAATAAACAGCTGCTAAATATAGTCATAGGTAATTCATTTCACCTCATGTGAATACCTGTACTCCTCGCCCAAAATTTCAGTTTCCCCTTTATAAAGCTGGAACATGGTCTTATTAATGAATGCCCATCCTCAGAAGATCAGGAGATTCCACCCTGTGGAGGAAGTCAGAAATCCCACACCCTTTCCCCCTAGCTTTAAGAGGATCTCACAAGCTGTCCTGTACCTCACTTTCAGGGACCCGACCTCCCATGCTCAGCCACCAAAGGCGAGGCAACCACAACGTGCCCTGTGCCCCCTCTAAAGCAGCGGTCCCCAACCTTGGACCTCCAGAGGTTCTTGGACTTCAACTCCCAGAAACCCCGGCCAGCAGAGGTGGTGGTGAAGGCTTCTGGGAGCTGTAGTCCAAGAACATCTGGAGGACCAAGGCTGGGGACCACTGCTCAAAAGGCCTGGCACATGTGCTGGCGCCAGGTACTGATGGCGCCAAAGCCTACTTTTTTTCAAGAGGCACCTGGGCTTTTTCCTCTCCCTTGATTTCCCTCCCCCACACCCCCGCTGTACTGGCTTTCTCCTCTCCCACCCTTCCCACCTCCATGCACGTGCCCTGCGTGGCCCTACTCCCCCCCTTCCCAGTCGACCCTTCCACCTGATTCCCTCCACGGAGGATCCCTAATTCCTCAGTCCTTGCCTCCCCTCCCCCACATAATGCACCTTTGCACGGGGTGGGGGTGGGTGGGAGAAGAGACAAACACCCCCCCATCTCTCTCTCTCTCTCTCTCTTACCTTTTTCAACCAAGCGCCTTGCACTCCCCTCCCCCACCCTGGGGAGGGAGGGTCGCCGGCTTCGCTTCCCTCCAACTGCACCCCC